CTCTTGGGAAGGGGCAGGTGCCACCTTTTTCCGCTGTGAGCAGATCACGGGCTCTCCTGTTCTGGAAGGTCACTTGGGCCAAAGAAGTTATTTGTTTTTGTAGGGAGGTTAGAGATTCTGCCGTGGATGAGGGCCCTTTCTAACCTGGATTTAATATCTTCGACAGCCCACAGAGAGTGGCCCAGGGCTCCTCCCAACAAGCCAGCACTGGCGACAGAAATGGTTAAAGACATACCAACCAAGATAGAGAGGAAAGCCACTCTTTTCTGTCAGTCTGGGGGATTAAGAAGGTGAAACATTTCTGAGCTGGTGTATAGGGTGAGCTGGGGAACAACAATTACGAGAGGGCAAGGAGAAGTTATGTTGTGGAGGAAAGTGGTGATAAGGGTTCCACTGCACCAAAAAAAGGTTCCAGGCGATGCATGAGTGGTATTTGTGAGGTTAAGCCTGTATTGACAAAAGGGGTCATTGAAAGATTTGGAAATAGTGGGGCCACAAAGGCATGTTCTAGGGAGGAGGGTGTGGTTGCTGTCCTCAGGCTCCCACAAAGGAACATTGGATAGGGGTGAAGAGGGCAGTGGGGCCTGGGAAGGGTTTGGACGAAGGAGTGAGTCGGTGTTGTTGACTGGGACAGCGGCAAGCAGGGGGTGAGCCAAGGACGCGCACAAAAAGCAATTTCCGAGGGAAATGGATGGAACAGTCTGGTTTAAAAAGGACAGGGTATCGGAAATGATCTGTAACCAAGTATATATAGGGGAGCCCAGGGCATGAAGGGAAGGGGCATTTTCTAAAGAGGGTATGATGTTCTGTTCATGATGTTTTATGTCGGTAGAGACAAGAGATATAGGGTTATGAAGAGGAACATACTCGCAGGATATTTCAAAAGTTCCACAGGAGTGTGAAGCATAGCCATTACAGTAAACAGAAGCAAGGACCCTGGTAGCCCATCGGCTCTCCCATGGGTCCTGGATGGTTAAAGAACACTGTCATTTGCTGTCACATTGAAAAAGTCTCCTACCAGTAGTCTGTCCCATATACCCTAACCCCCAGTGGATCTTACATGACCAATACGGACAGCCGCCATAGGTGTCAGGCCACCAGTGGCAGTAATCACGGGTCTGATCAAAGAGGAAGCAAAGGTAAGGGCGGTTGGCTTGTTTAACTAACTTGGAATTGGAAAGAGTGATACTGACAGCCTCGGAGCAACCTTTGATGGAGCAGTCCGCAGTAGTGGCTAAATGGGTGACTTTGGTGTTTTTTTGTGTGTGTGTATGACTCTCTCACCTTAAATCTCCATACACAAGACAGAGAAGAAGAGGAACTTTGAGGAAGTATAAAGAGAAAGAGGAGGAGGATATTAAAAGTGTTAAAATTACTAAAAGGGAGCATCCTTGTGGTTGATGAGAGGAGGGGCAGGAATGCGGGAAAATCACAATTTCAGGGGATTAGATGGGTCCGGAGTACAAGAATAAGAGGGACAAGGAGTAGATGGAGTGGAGCCTCAGGACTCTTCTGAGATATCCTGGACACCGGTGGGGACGAGGTTCCGGGTGTCTGGTTTTAATCTAGAAATGTGAATCCAGGGAGTAAAATGGTTACCAGGTAAAGAGAGTTTGGCGGCTGTAGGGGTACAAAGAATAACTAGGTAGGGGCACTCCCACTTGGGCAGGATAGGTCCTTTTTCTTCCGGGGAGTTGTAATATACTAGTTGTCCAGGGTGGAGAGGCAAGAAGTTTTAAGAGGAAGCAGGGTCAGGAAGAAGCCAATCTTGAAATTTCCAAAGTTCAGAGCAGAGATGGAAAAGGAGAGGTAAATTGAGGTCTGGCATATTGGACCCTGTGAGGGAGTGAGCCCTGGAGGTAAGAGGGGACGCCCAT